GTGTTCAAATGGGGTCTAGCTTATACTCATTTCAAAGTTGATTGCGTCACCGATTCAAATTTTACAATTTTAAAGATATCAGACAAAAATCAAGCTAGATACAGAGCTTTGAAACTGTCGATATACGGAAAAATGAAAAGCATCAGAAGGAAGCCATGTTTATGCTCATTTTGAAGCTTGTAACTTTCAGAGCTCAAAAATCAAAATTTCAGAGCTATTAGACTAAAGCCAACCTAGATACAAGACTTTGAAGTTGGCGATGCACCAAACTTGGAAAAAAAATTTAGTCCCCCTTCATTCTTCATCGTGCTAGTTTGTGACCCGATTTGTTCTCTGCTGTTCCTCTTTTCCACTAAATGATACAGCATCGATGATAAGATCAGACTTTCAAACATCAAACCAAATGACACATCTTGTTTATCACTGTCATATCCTTCTTTTTTTTCTGCAAGAGACCCATCACATCACGTGGGAGGAACGGAAACTGTATGGAATGATGAAACCGCCTGGGTGTCAATGACAGGTTTGGGAATGACGAGGTTTTTTGGGGAGAAAGGGGGGTTAATTCGGAGATCAGTTGGAGAAGACTCGTTGAACGATCAAAATCGGAGATCTTTGAGATAAGATAGGGAAAATATGGGACGGAAATTGGCGGAAAAATGAAGGAAAATAATATGGAAAGGGTACAAAAATATATATTGAAAATAAGGGGCAAAAAACATCGTTACTAAAAGAGAGGGATTTTTGAAGTTTCTTGAGAGTTACGGTATGTGGCCATACCGGTTAGCCACTCCAGCGTAGCTCAGCTGGTAGCTGACCGGCTTGTTTATTAGTGCATCTTCAGATTCGGAGCCTAGTATCTAGCTTGGTTTTGGTCTGATATCCCTAAAACTATAATTTTTGAATAAATGAAGTTAAAAGCTTTGGAATGAGTATAAGCATGACCCATTTCTGAAATCTTCATTTTTCCAACATGGTGCATCGCCAGCTTCTAAGCTAACATGGTGCATCGCCAGCTTCTAAGCTAACATGGTGCATCGTCAGCTATCTATGTTGGTTACAGTCTGATAGCTCTGAAATTTTGATTTTTAAGTTATGGACGTTAAAAGCTTCAAAATAAGTATAACTATGACCCATTTCTGAAAAATCTCATTTTTGTGACATGGTTCATTGCTAGCTTCAAAGCCTCGTATTTAGCTTAGTTTTAGTCTGATAGCTCTGAAGTTTTAATTTTTGAGTCTTGGACGTTATAAGCTTTAAAACGAATATAACCATAACCTATTTTAAACAAATTCTACCAGCGGTTGCAAAGTCGGCTATCCTAAATTCATAAACGGATGGCTTGAAAGTTCCTAAATGAGATTCAAAACGAATTTTCAGATTTTCAGGGTGTATCGTAACTTTCTCAAAGTCCCATTTCCCCAGTCTATCGAAGGGATTCCCCCACTGATCCCCCATTCCCTCTATAACGTGTATCGACTGTGTCCCAAAAAATTGTGCTAATTATCATCATTTTTCTTATCAGGACTACATGAAATCGAGTCTAAAATGCCATCAGAATATTTTTTAGGAAATACAAAATAGACTTTTTGACATCATAATGATTCTGGTCCTCATATTGCTCATATCGAATTGGAGGTGTCTGGAAGCCGAGCTGGTCTGAAAAATTCTGGATTTTTCATTACCATTCAAGGATTTCAATTTTCGAGGACCTTTTTATCATTTTATCATGAATCTTCGTTATCAGAATTCTCGTTCTCGGGTTGATAGATCAAACTTGCCCCTCATTTGATCTACAAACTATTACCATGACTAACCAACTTGGCTCCGCCCCTTTTTGGGGGGTCAAAGCCACGTGACTCCGTTCTTCTAGCTACACAAACCATAAAAGCCTGTCTGGATCAGGTTCCAAACCATAACCAATTTCCATCAACTCTTCAAAAGGCTACAAAATGCTCAAGACCCTCTTCTTCACCCTCTTGGCTCTTCTCTTCCTGTCTTCTACAGTATCCGCTGGCATCATCCTCCGTGACCGTCGTGCCGTTCCAGACTACTGGTATTCCAATGGAGTTGTTCATAATATGGTTTCCGATAATATGGTTGGAGGACCAACGTCTCTTGGATGGGCTCAAGTGCCACATAGATTGAGCCCAATGTTCTCCCCTGTTTTTGGTGGACGCTAAAAGAATCAGAAATGGTTAGGGACATGGAAATCTAGCAGTGCTGCAAAAACGCTCCATTGGATATCCAGGATTTGGATTTTAATTCAATAAAAATTTCATAATTTTCTACTGTTGTCAATTTTTTTCACAAATATCCCTAGACATCTGAAAAATTCCTTGTCAAGGACCCCCGCTCTTTAATTATCTCGGTTCCTGTGGAAGACTGCACAAAGTGGTCAACGGACAGAATGTTTATTATAACATCATCAACATTTTATCAGTTGACGCATTTTTGATATGTCTGATAGAAACCAAGATAATAGAGCTCAAAGTACACGTTAATGGTAGGCATCTATGAGAGCAGATACGATAGCTCTCTCATCTTTAACCTCAATTATCTCGGTTCTTGTGAAAGATGACAAAACGGGATCAATTAATAAAATGTTGGGTAATTTATGATAAATGTTCTATTACCAGACACTTTGTTCTATCTTTGAAATGAAGCAAGACAGATTTGGTCAAAGTTGATAGTGTGGAAGCCATTCCACAGGTTTTTTGGAGGTTGTAGACATCCGGACTTACAGACACACCCAAAAACAATTGTTCTTCCTGATCAAAAATTGGCAGATGATATCACCAGAAAACCGTTTTTTTCTTACAATTAAACTAGACAGCCATCCTTTTGCATACGTGGCAAAGTCGAAATTTTCGGAACCAACAGCCAAAAAAAAAGAAGAAAGGTTCAGACACACATACACAAACTATGGACAGACCAATTAGCGTCTTGATCAACGGGGAAATACCTTTTTTGGAAAACTAGAAGACGGGTAAATTGAAAAGATTCCGAAAATTACAAAATCCCAAATTTCGCGGCACCGGGGCCCACAAGTTCAATTTCTATTAGGTTGGCGGGAAAGTCTTTGTCACTTTTTCAATAGTTTATTTCTCAAAGAAAAAATAACCGAATAATTAATTATATTGTCCATCATTATCAACAACATGTCTCCAACGTTCCCTCAATTTATGGATTCCATTGCGGTAGAATCCAGCCGGGCGTGAGGCAAAGTATTGTTTGAGTGCCGCTTCGACCGCTCCACGGGAATTGAAGCTTCTTCCTTCGAAGGCACGTGTCATATCGCCAAATAACCAATAGTCGGAAGGAGCAAGATCAGGAGAATACGGGGGGTGAGGGAGAACATTCCATCCATATCCCATCAGCTCCTGCTTCACTTGTTTCGAAACATGTGGGCGAGCGTTATCATGTTGATAGTACACTTTCTTGTCTTTCAGGGCCGAACGGTCGACTGCTTTCTTGAGGTTTCGTAGTTGAGTAGTGTAGAGGTCTCCAGTTATTGTTTTGCCCTCGGGCAGAAGTTCCCAGTAGATGGGGCCGTCCACTCCCCACCACACAGAGAGCATAACTTTTTTCGGATGAAGGTCGGGTTTGGGGACATCCTGTGGGCTCTCTCCTTCTCCAACCCACTGGGATTTCCTGTGGTGATTATCGTAGAAGACCCACTTCTCATCTCCGGTTATTAGCCGGTCCAGCCATCGATCGCCCGCGTGGAGAGTGAGAAGAGTAATCGAATCGTCGACTCGGCGGTCAAGGTTGGCTTGAGTCAGGTGATGAGGTATGAATCGACCAAAAAGTTTTCTCATTCCAAGAGACTTCAAACCTTCAAGGACTGTGCTATGGTGAACTCCGAATGTGACAGCTAGTTCACGGCTAGATTGAAATGGATCCGATTGCAATGCGTGCTTCAGCTTGTCCAAATCCAACTCACGGGGTCTCCCAGAGCGATCCTTTTCATCGAGCGAGAAGTCATCTTTTTCGAAACGATGGAACCAATTGCGAATAGTATTGTAGTGAGGGGCATGTGTGTTGTACACATTCTTCAAGAAAGTTTCCGAATCCTTCATCGTGGTGTGAGATAGGAAGAGGTAAATCAAAACATGTCTGATGTGAATAGCAGTGGGAACAAACATATCGTTTCAATTACAGATGAGGAGCAGGGAAGGAGATGGGGACTTGTTTATATGGAAGGTTCTTATCACCTTGTTATTCACTAGAGTCGATATCATACACAGCCTCCATATACGAGAACAGTGATTAAACAAACAGAGTGACAAAGACTTTCCCGCCAACCTAATAGTATAGTTATAATAATATGTCGAGAAATAAATGTCATCATGTCCTTTTAAGTTTCCAGGTACCTTTAAGTCTAGGGTCCATCTATGCCCACCTAGTCCATCTAGGTCCATCTAGGTCCTCTGGGTCTACAGAAAATGATTCCAAAGAACATGACCTCTTCAAAATGACCCTTACAAGTTTTCAAATCTTTTCGAATTCCAAATCGTTCTCTGAATCCTCCATCCCCCACCCAATCAGACTGATCTCCGATTTAACAAGACACAAAAAAACTTCACATCATCATCTCTAAAATCCTTTCCCATCTGTCCTGGACACCCACCACGTGACCGGATATTTCTCTTCTGCAAAGAAGCAACCCACCCCAAAACGGTTTTGGTGTTTGACATTATATGATAATGATAAATGTTGTTATCAATCATTTTGAGTGATGATCGGAGAAATGAAAAAATCAAAGATAGACTGACCATTAGAAGTTGTATGGAAAATGGAATTAAGACAGAGATCACAAAATGAAAAGAAGAAATTTAGAAATTTCAGAGAAATGAGACCAAAACAATTCTAGATACAAGGCTTTGAAGCTGGCGATGCACCATGTTGGAAAAATGAAAGCTCTCAGAAATAGGTAATGAGTATATTCATTTTGAGGCTTGTAACTTCTTGATCTCAGAAATGAAAATTTCAAAGTTATTAGACCAAAACCAAGCTAGATACAAAGCTTTGAAACTGGCAATGCACCTTGTTGGAAAAATGAAAATATTCGAAAAATGGGTCTTGATTATACTCATTTAAAAGCTTGTAACTTCCTGATTGTGAGCTCAAAAATTAAAATTTTGACGCTATTAGACTAAAACCAGCTTAGATACAGGGCTTTGAAGCTAGCGATGCACTATGTTGAAAATGCCAAACAAATAATCTTGGTTTATTTTGCATCTCACAACATTCTAGAACCTCTAGAATATTTTTGGGAATCTAGAAGTATCCATTTCCAGATTTTATTATGAAAACTCTCCGTCTCTGATTTCATCTTCCCACCCAGTCTAACTGATAAGAACGCGAAAAAAATGCCTACGTGCCAAAATGGACCAAAATTTTTCATCTCTTTTTTTGGTTCTCCGAAAAACGTTCGAGATCAGAGAAGAGACAGAAATGATGTCATCCAATGACATATACCGTTCTAGAACTTTTTAAGCATTGTAAATCAAAAGTGGTGTCATACACCTAGCTTTTAGTTTCTAGGCCAGGAAAAGGCTACTGTAACTTTGAGCTCAATTATCTTGATTCGTGTGAGAGATATCAAAAAGTGATTAACTGATAAAATATTGCTGATTTTATGATAAGCAATTTATTAATTGACAAATGTTTGATAGCTCTCACAGGAAACGAGATAATTGAGCTCAAAGTTGCTGAGAATAGAAAAGCACCTGACAGGATACCTCGACCTAACTTTCCAAATTTTCTAGGCCATCATCTGGCTCCGCCTCCCTCTTTGTTTTATATGCAAATCAGTACATTAATTCACTTTCTTTGATTATTCCAAAACTAGTAATCGTACAGAACCCCACTATAAAAACGCTTCTTCCAATTTCTCATTAGCATCAATTCCCCCAAACCCAAATGCCATCTACCGTAACCCTCCTCATCCTCATTTCCTTATTCACAGCAACCGTAATCTCTCAATACGCCTACAACCCCCAATTCTATTCACAGTTTGCTCAACAACAACGAAACTACTACAGTAACCCAAGAACCTATTATAACAGTCCGGTTTATGATAACCTCTGGGGCGCGCCAGCCAACCATGGTGAGTCTTCTGGATAGTAGGTAAGCTCGCTCTACGGATAAAAATGGCTAGATTTGAAAATTTATTTTTCAGGATGGTCCCAAGTGAGAAGACACCATTCGCCACAGTATGCGCCGGTCTATGGGAAGTGAACCATTCTGAAAATTTAATTATCTGAAAATATTGATTTTTAAACTATAAACTATTATATATTTGTATCATGAAAATCTACAGATCACAAAAATCATCACAGCTGATAAGAAAGAGATAGAGATAGTGACCACCCTCTGAAGCTCCGCCCACTTTCAAGGCAAAGGCGCCTAGCTGGAGTATAAAAAGGCCGGCTAAACCATTACCAAGCCATCAACCTATCAGGTTTTGAGATTCCAAGATTCCAAAAATGTTCAAGAACATCTTCTCCCTTTCCTTCCTCGCCCTCTTCGCCCTATTCTTGTCTTCTACCGTATCCGCTGGCCTCATCAAACGAGTCAAACGTCAAAACTACTGGGGACAGCCTGGCGTCGTCAACAACATGGTCTCGGATCCATTGGTTGGAGGATCCACGTCCCTTGGATGGGCTCAAGTGCCACATGTCTACAGTCCAATGTTCTCGCCAGTGTTTGGAAGAAAATAAGCGATTTTTTTCTAATAATTGCTCATCTCTATTTTTTGATCTCTTGAATTTTTATGACAAATAAAATATTTTTCAATGGAAAACTGTATTTTTCAAGTCCAGATATTGTTAAATTAGTCCAAGATTATCCAAAATCGACCAAAATGGTTCAAAAGTGCAAAATAAAATAAATCCAAAATAAAGAGAAGATCCAAGGGAAACTCCCAACTTTGACCAAGCATATCTTGCTTTCTGTGAAAAATGTAAAAAAACGGTTAACTGATAAGTTATTCATCATAATATCACCAATAGTTTATCAGTTCACTTTTCGATATCTTTAATAGGAACCGAGATAATAAGACTCAAAGTCAAGACTGCCATTGCCGGCAGCGGCCTATGGCTGGACTGGCCACCGGCAAAGATATCTCGCTTCCTGTAAGACCTATCGGAAAGTTTTTAACTGATTAAATATTTAT